ATTATTCTTGAAAGACTGGTTCACTCTGCCAATCCACACCAATCAGGTGCCGGGGAACCCTCCACATACACCCAGACCACAATTTGTTGATCAACACAACCACGGACCATATGACAGTCCTAATGAACACATCTAACCTGCCGGTCAAGAAGAGTCCGATGGGGAGGGTAACCAGGTTTAAACAGGGTTTTACTCAATGTTAGTTGGATCAGAGGAGCGGACAGTGATCAACAGAAGAATGGGTCACTGGACTCGGTTTCCAGCAAGCTACTATCCGACAATTACATTAGGGAAGACATCACTCTTACGTGCTATAGTCGGAAGAGACGCTGGACCCGGTTTCCAGCCAGTGACTAATATGATAACGATTCCAAAAACCTGGTTTGGGTAGATGTAAGACTCCGACCCCCGCAGGATGAAAGGAAGGCCTGGCTAGAACTTCCCAAGCTTACAGCACTCCAGCTACAAAAGTTTATCAGACAGCAATAGGCTGAGAGGAGCTTTGCCTTTCTAGATTACAGAAGAGGTCTTGAGTGAGACCCCGGAATTGTATAGCCCTGGTAGACACCAACCAGGCTAACTTTTTTTTTTTTGTTAGGCAGGGGCAAGGTGGGCTATATCCTTCCAGTTCGGAAGCAATCAATGCCGTCCCCAGGGTCTCCCAGCCATGATGGGGAGAAGCGTTTCAGAGTGCGTTGTAACATGACTTGCCGGTGGAACTGGAACCGGACTGACGCTCCCCAGAATGGAAAAGGAGCCAGAGTCATAAGGCTCTGTTTGAAAGAAAAAAAAAAGAAAAAAAAAAGAAGCAACCTGACTGCAGCCCGCTAGAATAGAAAGGGCCCCCTTTCTTTTGGGGGAGGGGAGGGGGGGGAAGCGTGCTAATGTTGCAGCTTGGAGGACCCAATCACTTGGCCGATATCCCAATCATTGCCTGCTCTGGTACCAGTGTTGTGACTTTGTCAAGCTTTGATTACTTCCAACGTGCATCAGCTCTGATACCAGTATTATGATTTCGTCAAACTTTGATGAATTCCGACGTCCACCAGCTCTGATACCAGTATTATGATTTCGTCAAGCTTTGATTACTTCCAACGTGCATCACTCATACAAACTGAACTGAAGATAAAACTCGCAATTGATTCACATTGTGACACGCCAACTCCTGCCGAGTGCGGTTTTCTGTAGGCTTTCGGTCTTTGCTGGCTTTGAGGGTTGCATGCACAGTGGGATGAGTTTTGACTTTCGCCCCTGGATCTCGGAGCAGTCTTTTTGGTTGAGCCCCGATAGACTTCTGTATTCTGCCACATATTAGTTTGTGCTGTGACACACGAATGATCGTAGCATTTTGTTTGTTTCAGTTTCGCTAGTGCAATTTTAATCGTGCGACATTTCATTTGTCGTTTTGAATCTCAATACTGGTTTTTGCCTGTATGCACTCGAAATTGCGGCACTGTGCTACAACTTCGCACCCACTCCTCACCCTGCATCACTTCTCCTTGCAATTTCTTGTCTTCCTTCTTCCTCATTCTTGTGTGCTCAACTGCCATGTCCTTCATTCTTACTATCCTAGCCGCTTTTTGTGCGCACGACTTGGTTGCTGCTAGGTTTATCACCCCCAAGGGCCCCAACCTTTCTGACTCACTCCTTTGTAAACCCACCTTTCTCCCTCCTGATTGAAAGAGAACAATAGATCTTGGATCAATGTCTGCGCCGGTGTGAACCCCCGCACATCGATCAGAGCACGCGACCCCTGCCCTACCAATTTTCGCTCCTTTCCACAACGACGACCTCTTCCCCCTCTTCCCCTTCTTCCCTAGCTAAGCGCTGGCCCTATTCTGCATTGGCAAGTTCCACACTTACAATAATTTCGCGCTCTCCATCTTTGTGTATACCGTGCAATATGGTCTGTGGAGGAGCTGGCCAGAATAGTGGCGTCTGGAAAGTTCTGACATTCTGGTAGTCATGTAAAGGGGCGACAACCGTGCAGTGAAGGACTGCAGGCCCTCAAACGGACCTGACAATCTTACTGGACCAAGCAGGGTGACGGATTGGCCCGGGTCAGCGAGCAAGACAAGGGATTGCCTGTGCTCAGGTGTATGCATGGAGTGGTTGAGTGTGCATTTTAGTGAGAGCTGATTCATTTTGCAAGAGCTGATTCATTTTGCAAGTTATGGTGAGTGGCCTTTGAAGCTGAGTGGTTAAGTTAGGTTACTCTCTTTTGCACACTCATTCTATCTCGCTCTTTGTCTGTCTGTTCCTTTCTTGTTGGAATTTGGTGTTGATGGCATTTGGTTGTTTTCATCGGAGCTGAGTCTTTTGCATGGTTGTGCATGAATGTTTGTTGCCGGTCGCTGGCCGACATACCAAGTCTCGCAGGTTTGTGAACTAGCCGGTACGACAGTAAGGAGTGTTTGTCGTACTGTGGCTCTGCATGCTTTTCCGAAGAGGTTTTATCACTTCGCTTCCATGTCAGGTCTTTTGTTGAGAGACTTCCGCAATGCTTAATTATCTCCATCCCCTTATTTTGACCGGCGATCGCATGTTATGTGTGAGGGAGGTGTGGGAAGCGTTGGCTCAAAGCCATCACCCCTATCTGTTGCCTGGTGATGGTCAGTGCTCTACCTTTATTTCTAAAGGCTTTGTGATTGTATAACTTCTTTCCCTCTCTTCCCCCTCTTTTTGCCTTCCAAGAATTGGTTGTCATTTCTTGGTCTGCCTTCTTCAAGAGCTGCAGGCACAAATGATAGTGGGCTGCCCAAGGCTGCTTCTACACGCGACACACAGAGCAAGAGACCGAGGATAGGAAGGCATTGCTGAGACCATCCTCCTGGGGTTCTGATCTCTCTGCCGTGCGTAGGAAGGCCGTCAATTCATGGTGCAGTGCGTACTTCGTCTTCTAAAAAACAAAGCAGCGAAGCAATGACTATGATTTCTCAAATGCATCCTTTACCATCATTGATCCATGTCCGGCCAGTTCCCAGTCGGAAAGCATTGCGATCGGCCCTATGGTGCGTGCACTGTTTGATCTTTTAGACTTTTGCCCATTTCATTGTGCGCCCACCTGAGGGGTCTACACCTCCCTAATTGCCCTCCTTTTCTGTTTGTCTCCCCCTTTCAATCTTCCACTAAAAAATAGACACGGGAAGATTTCAGTTCCTTCCTACCTGGAACTCCTCCCCCATTCCCAAAAATCCTTGGCACACCCGCTTTAGTGCTTTTCAGTCCTAACTCTAGTCAGAAAGTAGCACTGGGCATGAGGCGGTCTGTGTGTCACAACACCGAACTTGCTTTGGAGAGTCCCACCATCACAGTTGATGAGAACGATCCCACCCGATCGGCTTACACCGCCCTAATTGCCCTCCTTTTCCTTTTGTCTCCCCCTTTCAATCTTCCACTGAGAAATTGGCACGGGAGATTCCAGTTCCGACCTGAAACTCCTCCCCCGTTCCCAAAAATCTTTGGCACACCCGCTTTAGCGCTTTTCAGGCCCAACTCTAGTCAGAAAGTAGCGCTGGGCGTGAGGTGGTCTGTGTGCTACAACAAACTTGCTTTGGAGAGTCCCATCAGCACAGTTGATGAGAACGAGAAAAGCTTATGTCCACTTGGGCGCCTGGCTGCCTGAACTGCCTGCAACAAACATCACCAAGAAGAACACAGTACAGCACCAGATCATGCTGGCTATGTCTTCACCGAGAATTTCTCCTCCAGGCAATGGAAATAGTGCTGCGTCTTCCTCCCGTCGTTCCAAAACCTTACAAAAGAAAACTGCTGAAATTCTCAACTCCTCTGCTACCTTTCACTCCTGTTGCCTGGGCCTACCAGGTCCAAACAGGCTCTACTCAACAGGCTTCTACATTTCAAAATCCTATGTGTCCATACATCCACAGCTAACCATATCTCTTCGTATAGGTACCGACCTACCAGGTCTGGATCTGACTGGCAGCAAGCACCAAAAATCTTAATACATGGAAATGAGACACTCGGGATACTTGTGCCAGGTTTCGGGTCCAAGCCCCGCCTGGCCTGGCCCCGGCAAATGCAATGATGAAGGAAAATAGCACTTTCGCATTTCGGGTTAAGGATTTACGATTTAGGGTGTAGGGTGTAGCATTTGGGGTTTACGGTTTTGGGGAGGAAGAAATACCGCAGTTGGGAGGGGCTTGAGATGTCAGGGGGAGGTATAAAGGGAGGGCATGAGGGACCGGGGAGGGACCCAAGTGACTGTGTTGGGGGAGAGGGGGAAGAAGGGGGAAGCCATGGCTATGGTGGACCTGTTGTTGTGCTGGTAGTAAGAGGGAACTTCCGATATTGATTCTGGTTCATCCACTCATTGCTATTATCATTATTGAGAAGAAGAATAAGATTGGCGAAGTCAGGGACGAGGAGGAAGGTGGAGAGCGAAGGGGGGATTTGACATCGGTCTTGCTGGTGCACATCTTCTTCTTCTTCTTCTTCTTCTTCTTCTTCTTCTTCTTCTTCTTCTTCTTCTTCTTTGTTCTCAATCTCTTTGCGAGTGCTTTCATTTCTTTCACAATTGGGTGGCATTGTCTTTCCTTGTGAATTTGCACTTTGGAAATGACCAGGATCATAACAGGGTCATGATGGAACGGACAAATTTACCGTCCGAACTAGTACGATGCACTGTCTACAAAAAAAATGGGGGAATTTGGTGGAAATCAGAAATCCTTTATGCTTCTTTTTGTTTTCTTTTTTGGTTTTTTAATGTGAAATGATGAAATCCTTTTTTGCTACATGCAGGAAGATTATAAGGACGGCACTCCATCGGAACACCCATGCACAAGCGATCAGCTTGTGAAACTCTATGGCTGTCCGATATTCAGTGGTCACTCGCGTTTCTCGCCGAACATATTTTCGCAGTCGCATTCCTTGTCCTGTCTGCAAGGCAATCCAGGGGCATACTCATATGCTGCAGTGGGGCCACTTTCACCAAACAGCTGTTGCAGGATGGCGCACACCATGGGAATGGCAGGGAAATCTGCACCGTCCGCTCCACCACCTCCAGAAGAAAGAACCCGATTGACTGCAGAAATGAGGCAATCGCTTGACAAACTCACCAACCAGCTTCGGTCGTGCTGCCCTCAGTGGGACATCGATGGCATGTGCAACGTTTGGATTGTCAAACCAGCAGGTGATCTGTGAGGAGTGAAAAATTGGTACCCTCTTCCTCCTCCTCCTCCTCCTCCTAATCCTCCCCCTCCTCCTCCTCCTGCTCCTCCGCCTCCTCCGCCGCCGCCTCCTCCTCATCATTCCTTTTGCTCTTCGTCCCCACCATTTCCACCTTGTCTTCTTCTCTTCTCTTACTTTTACTCGTGCTTCTCCTCCGTCCTCTCCTCATCCAATCTACAGTGTTCAATGTTCATCAATTCAAATCGCTCGAGTTTTCTTGCCCTTATGGTTCAACTTTCAACGTTTTAAGACTCTCTTGTCAAATGTTGAATGCGAACTTATGGGGATTTGTCAGGCAAGCTGATCTTTTTTATAAGTTATTTGTCTTTTGAAAGGCAAGCTGAGCTTGGTTGTGGAGGAGCAAGAGGCTGATGAGTGTGCAGTTTGTGGATTTTTACAATTCTTTTTTAGATGGATTGGCAATCCTCTTGGTAGGCATTGTACTCTGAAGCATCTGGAGCTTCTGAGTGTCTATCTCCAAACCACCTGATTGAGTTCACACAGTGAGTGGAGACTCGCATTAGGACTTTCTTGACTGATCTCTGGACTTGATTGCAGTCAGATACATCCATGATGGGCCCTAATTGGGGTCAGGTACATCCGTCCAGAAAAGTCCTAGTGTGAGTATGATCTTGTGTCAACAGGGGCCTAGATTAGATGAGAATTTGAGAAACAATAGATGGGAGCCACTTGCTTCTGGGCAATTGCAAGAAGTCCTTAACTAGGTAAAGAGTGCGGTGAGGGGATGATATCGACGGGGGAGGG